CTAAGCTCGTATGTCGTCGATGAATCTGCTGTGTGTAGCAATTATCTGGTTTTCGGCTCCTCGGTGAGTCCCCAGTACTTTCTATATGGTTTCTAGTGCATAAATTCCAAAATAGTGCGCAGTTAAAGATTCTTTATATTATTTAAGCAGGACTATATATAGGTGACTGCAACCTTGTTATTCAGAATGGGTTAACTAATTTTAATTGCCATTTTAACTGAAGACAATCAACCTACATGGAATAACCAGGCATGTCTTGTCCTACACGACAGTATGATAACTAGGAGTATAATAATACATATATATTGCATCCCACTAATACGAGTACTACCTGAACACTTAAGCAGGTGTCTCGTCGTTGTTTCTTATCGTGTTTCTTATGTGAAACTATGTAAAACCTATAGTTAACCTTACTTGGATATTAAAGTGTCTGTAGTCGAATAAAGCCGGACCAGATTCGTTGCTTCATATTTCGGAATTCAGTCGCCAGAACTGTAAACGTCTATGTTTGTAGAAATTTTTGAATAGCATCACCTTTTAACGTTCAAGCATCTGATTTGCCTATGTCCAAAGTATGCTCCAAAACCGAATGGCGCAGTGACGGACACTTGCGCGTGAATTGGTTTCAAGTAAAGTAGACTTGCGCCGCACCTAAAGCACTCTCTCACACTCCCCACCTGCGCCTGGTCACAAGAAAAAGTCAAGAAGACCGGGGAGGGGAGATGGTCCAGACCAAAACACTGCTGACCAACGCAACTATGAAAAAGTGCAGCAAAGGCTGGGAGCGGGAGGAGACGGCTCGGATCCCAGCTGAAAGAAAGCGTCATAAGGACTATTTGAGCCAGACTCTCAGTCCACCAGTCAGTCACTCAAAAAAAACGTAACACATATTGGACTCGTTGTAACGGTAACATCTGACGTGTATCATCGTCTAATTACGCCCGTTGGAATCCCCAAGGAAGAACACAAAAAGAAGGGCGTAACTTTGGGCAGGCTTCACTTCTAACAGGACTGACTACTGGGCTTTCCCGACAATCTTCTAAGTCACAGCTTTTGGCCCATCGCGACGGCTTTCAGTGCGTCATTTGGCTGATGCCGAGTAGGCACAGCTGCTGACAAGGTCGGCGAACCCGTTTGCGCATGCCAGAGCAAAAAAGTCCACGCATCAGTCCCCTAATAGACAACAGACACTAGGCTGATTGTGCGTCTGGTAAGTGCGTCAGCTGGTTGTCTTCTCAGGCACAGTGAACCGTCAAATACTCTGAAAATTACCAGTTCAATCTGGTCATACAAAACATC